CCCCCGCCCCGAGTCTTCCTTTCGGCCCTCGCGGCCCGCGTCTCCTTTCTTAGCTCGGAAACCACATCTGAGTTACAAGATAACAGTTGCCTCCATACATTTGATCAGTACGAATAGGACACTTAAATACGGGCTTTCTTGGCACACCAGAGTTGGAGTATAATTATTGTGGAACTGTTGTTCAATTTCTGCTGCCCTATAAAATAACTGCTCTTTGATATTTTCTTTTGTGCGTAGTATATGTGAAAGAATACAAGGGATCAGATTTCTAAGATTTCTTAGATTTTGTAGATATATTCATGTATTTGAACATATCCTTGCCTCTCCCATGTATTTCCTCGTTCACACTTTGTTATCAGAAAGCATTGAAAAGATAATTACTATAAACATTTGCATTCTTACTGTAACTAACCCTCTCCACCTATTTATCAGAGCCCACCTCCAGTTTATTTTCACTTTTTAACGGGAGAGTATGTGAAGGGTTGCTCAATTGTATTTTGTAATTCCAGCAGTGCAATACTTCAGTATCTGCACAAAGTCTTGAACTTAAGTCAGCCTAAACTATGTGCCCTAAACATTATGGTGTTTTAAACTTTTTAAATCTAGTGCTAAACTTCAGTTTCAAAATAATCTTATTTTCTTAATTCAAAAATACATCTTGTGATTAGCAACATACCTTAAAGTTAATGTGAAAATGCATTTACAGATTCCTCTTGCCCCTCTGCCTCCAGATCCACATGCCCTGTAAGCTCAACTCCCCTCTAGAGAATCACTGGTCACCAGGAGACTGTACTTGGGACCACATAAAGCCAGTCATGTGTTATTTCAGTATTGCCTTCAATACCATACCACAACAAAGGTTTTGTGTGTACTTATTTCTGAATTCCGCCTGAGCTGTTCACATTCTTTTTGCTCTGTGAAGGCCAAAATTCAATATGGTACATCCATGACCAATTTAATGGGCATCATTTCAGTTGTATTCATTTGGAAACTTGTTAGCAGATCACCTTTTTAAAAAATTTTACAGAATTATTGGCACATTTGGGCAGATTTTGTTAAACCAATTGATAATTTTCTGTTAGGCACATTTATGTTATACTTTTAGTTAGTTGGTTATATTTTTTGTTAATTTCTTCTTTTCACCACATGCCCAAACTTGACATGTTCTCATTTGTTTGTTTTTAGTAAATCTGACATTAGGTTTTTTGTGGGTTGTGGAAAAATTTCGTTTTTAATCTTAACTTCATGTTTTGCACTCAGATTCAGCAAATAGTTGCAACAAATAAGACAGCTCCTACTCCCAAGGTATAGAGAATGTAAGAAAATGACTCACTAATTTAAATAGAAGACTAAATAACACTGTTCGTGAAAATTTAAACAAGGAAAATGCCACATCTTATTTGGGGAGGTATGGATAGGAAGAGATAAAGATGAGGGAAGGTTTTCTAGTGGAGTTTGGCATTTGAGCTAGACTCAAAGAGCACAGAGTATTTTTCCAGAGATTTGTAGAAGTCTATTTGTGGGACAGCTAATAGTCCAAACTGACAAGAATGTGGTGCACATGTAGGGAAGCAGCAGCATATAACGTTAGAATCCTATTGCATAAGTCCTTGCCAGAGTGAAGTTTGTATTTAACTTTATGGAAAAAATGTTAGACTTGGAAGTATAATTAGCAGGGAAGTACCACGAGTGTGCCTGAGTCTGAGGCCATCCTCTCTCCTTGTGCTTTTCTGTCCACTCCTCAAGTCATTTCTTTTTAAAGATGATTTTAAATATCATCTTTCTTTTTTGAATTGTATCTTTCACCCTTACTGGATAATTTTCCTTGGCATAAACACATACATGCATTATTAACATTCTTAGGATATTGAAGATAGATGTGTGAAAAGCAAGTCCAGTGCAATGTTAATTGTAGAATTTAGTTGCAAATACATGGATGCTTACTATGAAATTCCTTAAACTTTCTTGTATGTTTGAAATTTTCATAATAAAATGCTTGGGGAAAAAAATCCCTCAAAACTCACTCTCTCCTCAGGCTATGTCCCCATTTCACTTATTAGCCTGGTGAGATTTTTTTTAAAGCAGTTGTCTATAGTTCCATTCTCTTAATCCTCTTGACTCAGTTTTCAGCCCAAACTTGCACTGAAGTGACACTTGTCTGGGTCACTTTGACTTGTATCTTGTAAAAAGTCCACGATCAATTCCCTGCCCTCACCCTGTTTAATATTTTAGCAGTATTTCATTCATTTAGAAGTAATTAAGTGCCTACTGTGTGCCAAAGCATTGTTCCCATCAGTGAACAAAACAGATAAAAAAAATCCCTGCCCATGTAGAACTTACATTCAAGTGCAGAGAGATAGATAACAAACTAAATACGAAAAATATATAGAATATTCAAGTGTTAAGTTTTAAGGAGAAAAATAGAAGTGAGAGGGGAATAGGAAATGCCGGGAGTGTTTTCAAAGAAGTTGGCAAAGGAAAAGCATTGCTGCCAAGGTGAAAAGGTAGATCACATCTCACCTCTCCCTCCTTTAAGCCCTTGGCTGTCTGGACTTTCTTGACTCTACCAGCCAAGATTTCTCCTGCTTCTCCCCCAGATCTCTTAAGCACTGGAGTATCCCCCAGGAATATGTCCTGTCTCTTCCCTGTGTTCTTTCCCCTGGTGATTTCTAGTTCATAGCTTCAAATACCATCCTTATGCTACTGACTTTCAAAATTTTATTTCAAACCTATAAAATCCAGTGTTTAGTTTGCTCTTTTTCTAGCAGACATCTAAAATAGTGTGATCAGAAAGAGTAGTTAATTTTCTCCCCTCACCTCCAACAACATAATTGTTCCTTCCTAGGTCTTACTCGCTCATGAAGAAGCACCATTTTCTCATTCATTCAGACTAGAAAGCCAGAGCAATTCTTGACTGCAGTTCTCTTCCTTCTATACCCTACTCCCCTTATCCAGTCGTCTGTAAATCCTAATGACTCTACCTCTGAAATTCATCCTGAGTCTAATTGTTTCCTGCCACTCTTTGCTGCTATAATATATAGTCAAGGCTGCTAGAATTCTCATTTTTTAGGCTATTGCTATAACGTCCTAACAGGTCGCTCTGCTTCCTTTCTTGTCTTTCTGCAGTCCATTCGCACAGCAGCAGCCAGAGTGAGCATTAAAAACGTAATGAATCTATAAATCAAAATACTGCCCAGCTTAAAACACTCCAATGGTTTCCCCCTGCACCTGGGATAAAATCCATATTTCTTCCCATAATCCACAAAGCCCTTTATGATCTGCCCCTTGTGTATTTCTTTTCCCCTACATTTACTATTCTTGGTTAGAATTGCCTTTTTTGCCTCCCTTACACAGGCCAAACTCATTTCCATTTTCAGGGTCTTAGCGTTTGCTGTTCCTTGGACTTAAAATGCTTTTCTCCTAGTTTCACATGGCTGCCACCTTAATGGGTTCTCCTTCACCCTTGATACATTCTCCTGTCACAGCCTGTACACTACCAGTCATGCCAATTCTGCCTTCTTAACAAACCTGTCCTGTTCTCTCTCTTCCCACTATCACTTTATTTCAGACTCTCATCATTTCTTCCTGGATTAAGGTAATAATGTTTTAGCTAAATTCTCAACCTTTGGTGTTACCCTACGTTAGTCCATGTGCCACACTGCTATGACAGTAATCCTCATGTGTTCCTGCAAGAAAGATCCATTTTATGTCTTGATAGACAAGGAAAAGGTATTTGAGAAAATTCAACATCTAAAAAGCTGATGGGTTCAAGTTAAACATTTTTTGCTAAACTGCATCACAAGTGATGTGTAGTTCAAATTGTGTACATCACATGACATGATTATTTTACGATTAGTGAGTCTAGTGGATTAGGGTGGTGACAGTGATCACTCCATTGTACACTTCATTTCTCCCCTTCTAAC